TGGTCTTTGGGGAGCCCAGCTTTTGAGAAAGCGAGCGCCTCTTCGATTTCTGAGATCGGCCTTCGTGGTCTTTGAGCAGCCCAACTTTTTGAGAAAGCAAACGCCTCTTCGATTTCTGAGATCAACCCTCGTGATCTCTAAGCAGCCCAGCTTTTGAGAAAGCAAACGCCTCTTCGATTTCTGAAGCTCCGTCGAGTGCAGATTTTTATAGAGGCTGGCATTAAGTTCCAAAGCACACTTGAATCTCCACCAGTAGAAGCTTCATTCTTGCACTTCTAAGATCTTGATTTGTCCGACCTCTTCTCTCTTCAACACCTTTGAAAATGTCTGGCCCCTCCGACCGTCGTTTTGACTTGAACCTTGTTGAAGAGGCAGCCCCGCCTTCTCCAGACAACATATGGCGCCCATCCTTCGTCTCCCCTACTGGTCCTCTTACCGTTGGGGATTCCGTGATGAAGAATGATATGACCGCTGCAGTGGTGGCCAGGAACCTTCTCACTCCCAAAGATAACAGACTACTTTCCAAACGGTCTGATGAGTTTAGCTGTTAAGGATTCGCTGGCTCTCAGTGTTCAGTGTGCAGGTTCTGTGTCTAATATGGCCCAACGCCTATTTGCTCGAACCCGCCAAGTTGAATCCTTGGCGGCTGAAGTGATGAGTCTCAAACAGGAGATTAGAGGGCTCAAGCATGAGAATAAACAGTTGCACCGGCTTGCACATGACTATGCTACAAACATGAAGAGGAAGCTTGACCAGATGAAGGAAACTGATGGTCAGGTTTTACTTGATCATCAGAGATTTGTGGGTTTGTTCCAAAGGCATTTATTGCCTTCGTCTTCTGGGGCTGTACCGCGTAATGAAGCTCTGAATGATCAACCTCTGATGCCTCCTCCTTCTAGGGTTCTGTCCAGTACTGAAGCTCCAAATGATCCCCCTCCGGTGCCTTCTCTTTCTGGGGCTCTACCGACTGCTGAGACTTCTCCTAAGCAACCTTTGTGAAGGCTCCGTCTTGTGTGTTTATTTTGACTCATGTATATGTACATATTTGTAACTGATCGGGGATATCAATAAATAAGCTTTCCTTCATTTCAACGTATTGTGTTAAATACACCAAAGCCTTCTTCGCTAAGTTCTTTGAATTTTCTTTTGTTGAAGCTTGTATGTTGAAGCTTTCTGAGTGGAGCATGTAGGTTGGGGTAGTGTTCCCTTAATTTCCCGAGTGAGGAAAACTTCTCGGTTGGAGACTTGGAAAATCCAAGTCACTGAGTGGGATCGGCTATATGAATCTTAGAACGCCATTGTGCTCGATCCTGTGTCATGTCCTTCGTTAGATCCAAGTACTCTAAGTCTTTTCTTAGAGTCTCTTCCAAAGTTTTCCTAGGTCTTCCTCTACCCCTTCGGCCCTGAACCTCTGTCCCATAGTCGCATCTTCTAATCGGAGCGTCAGTAGGCCTTCTTTGCACATGTCCAAACCACCGTAACCGATTTTTCTCTCATCTTTCCTTCAATTTCGGCTACTCCTACTTTACCCCGGATATCCTCATTCCTAATCTTATCCTTTCTCGTGTGCCCACACATCCAACGAAGCATCCTCATCTCCGCTACACCCATTTTGTGTACGTGTTGATGTTTCACCGCCCAACATTCTGTGCCATACAGCATCGCCGGCCTTATTGCCGTCCTATAAAATTTTCCCTTGAGCTTCAATGGCATACGGCGGTCACACAACACGCCGGATGCACTCTTCCACTTCATCCATCCAGCTTGTATTCTATGGTTGAGATCTCCATCTAATTCTCCGTTCTTTTGCAAGATAGATCCTAGGTAACGAAAACGGTCGCTTTTTGGTATTTCTTGATCTCCGATCCTCACCCCTAACTCGTTTTGGCCTCCATTTGCACTGAACTTGCACTCCATATATTCTGTCTTTGATCGGCTTAGGCGAAGACCTTTAGATTCCAACACTTCTCTCCAAAGGTTAAGCTTTGCATTTACCCCTTCCTGAGTTTCATCTATCAACACTATATCGTCTGCGAAAAGCATACACCAAGGAATATCATCTTGAATATGTCCTGTTAACTCATCCATTACCAACGCAAAAAGGTAAGGACTTAAGGATGAGCCTTGATGTAATCCTACAGTTATGGGAAAGCTTTCGGTTTGTCCTTCATGAGTTCTTACGGCAGTCTTTGCTCCTTCATACATATCCTTTATAGCTTGGATATATGCTACTCTCGTACTCCTTTCTTCTCTAAAATCCTCCAAAGAATGTCTCTTGGGACCCTATCATACGCTTTTTCCAAATCTATAAAGACCATGTGTAAATCCTTTTTCCCATCTCTATATCTTTCCATCAATCTTCGTAAGAGATAGATTGCCTCCATGGTTGAGCGCCCTGGCATGAACCCGAATTGGTTGTCCGAAACCCGTGTCTCTTGCCTCAATCTATGCTCAATGACTCTCTCCCAGAGCTTCATTGTATGACTCATTAGCTTAATACCCCTATAGTTCATGCAATTTTGTACGTCGCCCTTATTCTTGTAGATAGGCACCAAAGTGCTCGTTCGCCACTCATTTGGCATCTTCTTCGTTTTCAAAATCCTATTGAAAAGGTCAGTGAGCCATGTTATACCTGTCTCTCCCAAAAGTTTCCACACTTCGATTGGTATATTGTCTGGGCCTATTGCTTTTTTATGCTTCATCTTCTTCAAAGCTACAACCACTTCTTCCTTCCGGATTCGACGATAAAAAGAGTAGTTTCTACACTCTTCTGAGTTACTCAACTCCCCTAAAGAATCACTCATTTCATGTCCTTCATTGAAAAGATTATGAAAATAACCTCTCCATCTGTCTTTAACCGCGTTCTCTGTAGCAAGAACCTTTCCATCCTCATCCTTGATGCACCTCACTTGGTTTAAGTCCCTTGTCTTCTTTTCCCTTGCTCTAGATAGTTTATAGATATCCAACTCTCCTTCTTTGGTATCTAGTCGTTTATACATATCGTCATAAGCCGCTAACTTAGCTTCTCTGACAGCTTTTTTCGCCTCTTGCTTCGCTTTTCTATACCTTTCACCATTTTTCATCGGTCCTCTCCTTGTATAAGGCTTTACAACATTCCTTCTTAGCCTTCACCTTTGTTTGTACCTCCTCATTCCACCACCAAGATTCCTTTTGGTGTGGGGCAAAGCCCTTGGACTCTCCTAATACCTCTTTTGCTACTTTTCGGATACAACTAGCCATGGAATCCCACATTTGGCTAGCTTCCCCCTCTCTATCCCACACACATTGGGTGATTACCTTCTCTCTTTGAAAATGACTTGTTTTTTCTTCTTTTAGATTCCACCATCTAGTCCTTGGGCACTTCCAAGTCTTGTTCTTTTGTCTTACTCTTTTGATATGTATATCCATCACCAACAAGCGATGTTGATTAGCCACGCTCTCTCCTGGTATAACTTTGCAATCCTTACAAGTTATACGATCCCCTTTCCTCATTAGAAGAAAATCTATTTGTGTTTTTGACGACCCACTCTTGTAGGTGATCACATGTTCTTCTCTCTTCTTAAAGAAGGTGTTGGCTAAGAAGAGATCATATGCCATTGCAAAATCCAAGATAGCTTCCCCATCCTCGTTTCTCTCCCCAAAACCATGGCCACCATGAAAACCTCCATAGTTGCCTGTCTCCCTGCCCACGTGTCCATTTAAATCTCCTCCTATAAATAACTTCTCCGTCTGAGCAATTCCTTGCACCAAGTCTCCAAGATCTTCCCAAAATTTCTCCTTCGAACTCGTATCCAACCCTACTTGAGGTGCGTACGCACTAATCACATTGATAAGTTCTTGTCCTATTACAATCTTGATTGCCATGATTCTATCTCCTACCCTCTTGACATCTACAACATCTTGTACCAAGGTCTTGTCCACGATGATGCCAACACCGTTTCTCGTTCTATTTGTGCCCGAATACCAAAGTTTAAAACCCTGAGTTTTCTAGATCCTTTGCCTTACTACCAACCCACTTAGTTTCTTGTAGGCACATAATATTTATCCTTCTCTCCTCACCATAACTTCCACTACTTCCATAGATTTTCCCGTTAAGGTTCCTATATTCCACGTTCCTAAACGCATTTTGCTCTCTTGAACTCTACCCTTCTGTCCTAACTTCTTCACCCTCCCCCGTCTAATAGGATCAAAGTACTTCTTTTGTGTGTCCCGGGTAAAGTTGATAGGAGCATATGCTCCCAAACAACTTTGAGTGGAGTCGTTCGAAAAGAAGTTTCTATGGCCCCCTTGCTCATTTAACACTGCATCCGGGTGCCGATGAAGATACAGCGACCCTTGCTCACTTATCACTGTGCTCAGGCCACACAGCGCGCCACTTACGGGTGACGCCCTAGCTTTAGCGCGATTTTGTTCTGGATTCATTTTCATAAGGATTCGACGTGATCATGGAGTGCCGGCTGTCGACTACCTGACGCCCTCCCCCTCCTCCTTTATCCGGGCTTGGGACCGGCCATGTAAGACATAGGCGGAGTTATTTACTAACACATGTAAAGAAAAAAAAATGTTATTTTAAAATTCGTAATTAAATACCTAAAATGAAATATCAAGCATGCATACACCTTTTTATTAATTATTTATCAGTCATTTTCTAATTCAGATATCATCCTTCAACTTCTTTCGATCAAACCTACCAGAACTTGTTGCCGTCGGACCCTTCACTCACTGTAAATATCATATTTGTAATTAACGTGTACGCATTGAAATGGGTAATTCCCATGTCTGTTGCTTTTACTTTTTCAATCAACCACGTCAATCCAAATTCTACGGCAATCTTCTTGAACACCTTACTAACTTGAGCGTCAGATTATTTTTTCTAGGAACAGGGCTTCTGCGGTAGGGAAACATGGTGTCATGCTTCTCAACATGGATCGAAGATTATTTATCGGAGAATCCGAAAGATGATGATGGTATTATTATTAGGGAATCAGAGATTAGAATGGTTGATACAATGTAAACTTTATATGCTTGGAAGCTGGTAAGAGGAAAATTGCAAAAACACGCGAGTATAAAACTATTATGTTTCATTTCACATTACAATTAATTTGAACAATGTGAAAAAAAGATCATATATCTTTGTAATGACCATAATTGTGCTAAGTTGCCAAAAAAATTTAAGAATTAAACGCGTACGCCTAAACCGCCAAATCCGCAAAATTGCCGAATATTGGTTTGGTTTGCTTTCAGGTGAAACCGGTCCAAATCGAACCATTAACCCTTTCAGCAACTGACCAGAGATGAGCAAAAATGTTGAAGCAGACATTGCCAACCAACAGCACCGGAGCTACGTTGCGAGACGTGTCTACTGGAAACAGCTTACATATGCAAGTATGAACGAAAAGAGAGAAGAAAGTAAATATGAGGAAGCAATTAGCAATACGGTGCTATAGAAACATCCAAAAGTTAAGATTTCATCAAGCAACACAATTTTTACTTATTTTATATATTTTTGGTCGTAAAGAAGGCGCACCATTACTGTTGCTGGACCTTCCTGAACTCTGTAAGGACAGGGTACATGTTCTCGAACGCCTTATACGTGTCCTCTCTCACCTAAGACATCAAATTAAACATAACATTAACAACAAATGTCTATCTGCAAATGCAGGAGAACTGAAACAAGAGGTGCACAATAAAAACAGCAAATCACCTTTGCACCAGTAATAACAATTTTCCCCGACACAAATATAAGAAGAACAACATTCTTCTTCTTCTTTGGCAGCTCCAACTCCTGTGGCTCCTTCTGCTCCATCTTCATGCGATATATCAGCCCTGGGAAAATTTCTGGCTCATACTGCAACAACATAACACAAGATAATGTCAGTTCTTGAAATAGCGACTACGGAGCATACCAACAACAACAACAACAAAGCCTTATCCCACTAAGTGGACTACGGAGCATACCAGCCAGTACAAATTTTTCAAAAGTCAATTAGAAACAAAGGAAAAGGACTTATTGTGAACCTTCTTTTTCTTCACCAAACTAAAGAATCCCAACTACAGAATTTCAAAAATGCTCCCACACCCAAATCAATACTGTAATCCCGAAACACACTCAATTTTTCAGCTTGTTAGACCTATACTTAGTGGGAAAAGGCTTTGTTGTTGTTGTTGTTGTTAGACCTATATGCATTTAGTCCAAATTTCTTACTGCAAAAATCTGTTCGGCCCCTATGATTCATGTATAGGGCACATACACTGTCCTATCATAATGTTGGCTCAAAATAAGCGTTGTTTCTAGGATTCATGTGTTTTTTTTTTCTGGTCTGATATGTATTGGGTATATATTGGTTTCGGAGTCATGAATTACATTTCGTAGTCGCTAGTAGAAATTTATAAATAGGCTTGTAAACCTTAATTTTGGGACATGAAGTAACTAGCAGAAATGTCCAGCAAGCATTTGCTCGTCTCTAGGATGTGTGATGCCTAAGATCTCTAAAAGTGATTCCTAGACGCTTACTGGTAAGATTCCATTAGTTTTTAAGCCGTCTTGTAAATTTCTCTTCTCATCCTTGAATGTCCTTGTTGCACAGTTGCACTTTTACCTATCAACAATTTACAGCACACAGATTCTCGTCTAGTTTTTATCCCTTTGTTGTTAATTGTTACTATTATCCTTCATTTTTATACTTATATTCACACTTATCAAGAATGAAAAGAGTATAAATGACATTTTATACATTCTGGCAAGGAATGTTTGCTTAACAACATTATAGATGAATTGGGTCACCGATTCAATATATATCAAAATGCACCTAGAATGCTAATGCCCACACAAAAGACGTTGAACTCATTAATTATGAGCAACTAAAAGCAAAATTTCAAAATGCAAAGGTAATAATCTCATGTCCTTGATCATAAAATATAAACACCTAAATCGCCAACCACACACTAAAATGATCATCCCAAGAGTAGAACAACATGGACACCAGATCATGAATGAAACTTAAATCAAATCTCAATGGAGAAAAATTATGAAAACATAAACAAAAACAGAAAAAGCTTAAAAATCATGTCAATTACAAACAATTATGGGACAGATAGTTCCAACTTACACTTGAAAAGGCACCATGGGAGTATGCAAGGCCCTCAAGTCTTATTGGGAATTTAACGTCACAGGACGCAACAATATTTCTAATCTCGAATCTCTGAAATTCACAAAAACATGTATTAAGGAAATAATCAAAAGTGTAATATAAAGGACTTATTCCAAATGGCTTTAAACGAGAGGCAGAGAGAGTGAGAGACAGATATATATATACCTGAAACTTAACAGCAAACCCAAGCTTTTGGATGATTCGAGCATACTGGGAACCAAAAATATTCAAGTCAGATGAAAGAAGTTCCACAGTATGTCCTTGCAACCTAATTAAGATTCACTAATCTAATTACATAAAACAATAATTATGTAAAGGATAATCATTGACTAATAACTGTGTAATCATTGACTACAAAACCACACCCACTCGTGATTGTGACCATTAACAAAGGCCAAATGATTTCAGTCACTGACTCAGGGTACTTAAGGTCGATACCAAAATTTTTAAGCCAACAAGGGTAAAAGTCCATTGTCACTCTACTCCTGCCTTAAAATGCCTAAAAACGCATAAAGACATGAAATCTCCCAAATATATAGCGCTATGTTTCATTATCATAGTAACATCTGTAAGCATGCAACATTTACCTTCCTTGCTGCTAGTTTTGACTGCTCTTCACTTTTCGCACCTGTGCATACCTGAAGTACCAGAGAGATTAAATCTCTTAACCAGAGGCAAAAATGGTATGATGGGTGCATAACTCAAATACATTACAAATAAGGGAGGAGGGAAAAGGGAGGGGGCTTTATCATGTTCAAATGGCCATGAAAATGTAATGCAGTAATCAACCAAGGTTTTGATGTGAGTAAATTTTTAAAACCCAGTTTTGGTTGCAGAAGTGCTGGATGCAAAAACAGGAGTTTATGGCAACAACGCACAACTGTCCATGGCTTCCAATAAAAGAAGATAACGTATACATAATTTCAGAAAGTAACAAGTAATTCAATTCCAAGTCTAACACGTACACACGCCATTTCAAATGAAAATCATAAAAGGATCACTCCATCTCCAAAATATCATGTTAACCTGAGCATCAACATTTGTCAATTTAAGATTCAAGGTACTGTACATCTTGAACAAACAAATGCAATTCAGACGACCAGAACTGGTATTAAACATACACAGCGATTTAGATTTCATAATCAAAATAAGCAACCAAACAATGGTCCCTTTTGGGGATATTCTATAAGTTAAACATTTATCATTACTTCACGACTAAGACAATAAACTATAGTGAGAGAAGGCCAAAATGAATTACTAAGACTTAGCATGACAATTGCCATGCTCATGTACGAAGGGATACAAATCATACAATTACAAACACATCTGCAAATTCACAATCATGTATGAACTAGATCCATAGCCATGTCAACAGATACTAGCACAATCAACTGGAGTATGATAAGCAAAAACATATCAAGTAAGATAAATCGTTCCATCAGATCTCACAAGGTAGTATGGATTTAAGAACAAAGACATTTACGACCAAAGGTGGAACCGAACAGGATGCAAGGAGATTCAAAAGCATGCCAGTTCCAAAAATGTAACCAAAAAAAACAGGAACAGATGAAATGAAATCATCCAGTTGTCAACAAGTAAAATGGAAGAAATTTTTAATAGCTCACCATATTTCCAGAGGCAAATATCAAAGCTGTAGTTTTTGGTTCCGTTATTCTCATAATGACCGCGGCAAAACGCTGCAGGACCATTCAATAACTAAGAAGTTAGGATTCAGTTAGAAGTCACATTGAGATAGATCCATGTGTTTGTTTCAGACGGGGAAGAGAGAGAGAGAGAGAGAGAGAGAGAGAGAGAGAGAGAGAGAGAGAGAGAGAGAGAGAGAGAGAGAGAGAGAGAGAGAGAGAGAGAGAGAGAGAGAGAGAGAGAGAGAGAGAGAGAGAGAGAGAGAGAGAGAGAGAGAGAGAGAGAGAGAGAGAGAGAGAGAGAGAGAGAGAGAGAGAGAGAGAGAGAGAGAGAGAGAGAGAGAGAGAGAGAGAGAGAGAGAGAGAGAGAGAGAGAGAGAGAGAGAGAGAGAGAGAGAAACCCAACCAAGATTCCACCAATTTTATAAGATACTTGGAATCACTGAATTCTCAACTCAGCTAAAGTAGCCAGCCCTTAATTAAGGTATCAGTCAACCGACAATAGCATCACATCCAACTACTACTTCCTAAAGAACCCAGTATAACATATTTCGGAAGAGTGAGCTAGAACCAGTTAACAGTCAATACACTACTGAAATTAATTATACATACTCTTGCATACCTTGGGATTGTACTCTGCATTCCGAGCTTGCAACACAATTTGCTTGAGATCCAGCTTGCAACCCAAAAAAGCTGTAGATACAATATTACTACAAACACAACCAGAACAGAAGGATTACTAGACTTCTTATTAAGCACAAAATACTCCAGCTTGTAAATAATGCAATCACTATAAAAGAATAAGAAAATAAATTAAGATTAAAAAATGCATATCATGAACTAATGAATACCAAACTTGGTGGATTTCATTACCGAACTGGCCCGCAATAAAGAAAGTTACTCTTTTCGTGCAAGCAAGTTTTGATGACAAGTTTTAGCCATGGCTTCATTTACAATAACAGAGATCACTATCAAATGAAATCTTTCATTGACGGCCATCTAATTCATTTCTACCCTAAATTCGACTTCAACCAGAAAAATCAAAAGAATTTCAATCCCTTCAAGAACCCAAAAACAACATCTTGGAGATATAAATGAATAAGTATACACTAGAACTTTAAATCCTCTTTTCCCTTTAGGAAACCAGAACCCTGTAACCCCCATAAACCCACAAACGGATATTCCTAGCATAAAACCAAGAAAACCAATAACATTCAAACGGTTTAGAGCATTTACCCTGCACCCGCGGTCCTGGGTTCAGTCCCCCCTCCCCAAAAATACCCAGAATCCAGAATTAGAATAACCACATAACAAATGAGTGAGAGAGAGAGAGAGATACTGAATAGTGGGAACAATGCCAGAGGGGTGAATGGAAAGATCCACAGGCTGCTTATCTTCAGATCCACCTTGTTCTTCCATTCCCTGTATTTTGGACCGGCGATTGTTTAAATTGTATTATACAGAAGAAGAAAAATTGAATCTTATTAAGGGTTTCTTGTGTTGCTGCCTCAAATTCTTCGACGTTTCTTGGCGGGCAAATTGGAATTTGGGGACGGAAGTTTTCAAATTAGGGTTTTTTTTATAGTTTTTGATGGAAGAAAATTGTGAACGATGGCGGGCTTTTGTTTGGGTTTAGGACTTCCAGTCACTCTTCCGTTTTACATTTGGGAACATATACATATACGGCGGTGTCGTTTTAGTAATTTAATGAAATAAAATAAGCTCTTCGGTGACAAAAGCCGAAAATTTAATATTTATTCGGCCAATCCTTCCGAATGTTTATTCAAAATTTGACCAGAGTATGCCGAAAGGTTCTCAAAATTAACAAAAATGTGTGAGCAGTAAAAATGAATGTGAATAACACTATCCTTTTAATTATCATCTCTCTCTCAAGCCACTCTTTTGTAATAATTACCTGCATACGTAGTATGTGGTCTCATTCTAGCTAATATTCATGGCAAGTTGAATACAAGTCTCGCATCGAGAAATTGAGAAAATAAAATAAAATATATATGTGTATAGTTGCACTCCTGAATTTCTAATAACACCGAGGCCCTTTAAGAAAAACTTTACACCTCTTAAACTACATATGGTCAAATTGAGAATAATATGCTAGACCTTTTGGCTCATCTCTCTAAAACTTTAACATGGCATGTTGACCAACTTCTAATAGGAAAACAAAGAATTGGCACATGATCAATTAATTAGCCTCCTAATTGACTTGATTCTTAATATTTCAGCCTTATTTACAGTGAAACTTAGCGTCGCATAAATAGTAAAAGAATGCAGATCGAGAGAAGCTGGATGATCTCAGTTGTTCACTTCAACAAGCTCAGCTAATTAGTAGTGGTGCTCGCTGCTCATGAAGTCAAGTAGTGCTTGTATCCCAGGGCATTGGATTAGCGTCAGATTGAAACTTGAGAATCCCTTCAGCTATGATGCACGTATACTTCACTTTGGTCGTGTATCCCCTATGCGAGATTTTGTCGGATACGATACTCGTCTGATAATGTCATTGTCAACAAATATGGCTTTGTCTTGATGGATACGCGTATTTCATATGAGAGATACTTTTACACTTTCAGATAAGAAAATAAAAGGAAAAATTTAATATGAGACATAGCTTAAACTGAAATCTGATCAATACAAAGAACTTGAATTTGAATTTGGATGATGAAATCGAATTCTTGTTTGTCCAAACTTGTTTTAAATTATATATTTTTAATTGATGTGTATATGATGTACTGTATCCTATTTTTTAGAGATTGTTTGTATTGCCATGTCGTATCATCACCGCATCCATACTTGTATCCGTATCCGTGTTTCATAGCCCCTCAATTTGGAGAATAAAACAAGTGTCGAGATGATGATGACGATGAAGATTTCGGGGATGACAATGCTTGCAGTATTTCTATAACCATTCGAGAGGCGGCAATCTTCCCAAAGGAGGCAAAGCTTCGTTAAGTTCTGCAATGACACCAACCAATTCGGAGACAACGCAGCCCCTTGACAACTTCCTTTTACTAGGCAAGTTAAATTTGGATTTGGTTGTAGGTGGCATTCAATGTTTCTTCACTGTTTTGGCTTGGCCAATACTCCAAGTGAGAACATAGAGAACAATTGAAAACTAGCTCTAGGCTAATGACAGAATGCTTTGAGTTTAGTGACAAGGGTACTCAGATTTTTGCAATATTGGAAAACATCAAATGGGATGGACCCTCAACAGCAAACATTAAGAGCATCTCCACCGACTTTATTGCCTTTGCAATTGGGTCAAATTGCCTCCAACCCAAAAAAAACTCCTCCACGGTCCAAAATTGGAGAGGCAATTGCTTCAAGGGCTGATTGCACCTTGCAATAATTACACGGGCTTCTGCCCTTTCAACTGACAGAGGGGGTGGGGGGCCTCACCCATGTGACAGCCAGCCCAGCCCAGCCCACAGATAACAGCACGATTATGTTTGTTCGTAATGCTATATTTTGATATGTAATTAAAGTTAAATGATTGGAGCTAAATACTGAATTTATTTTCAAAGATCAAACTTACTAAGTACATAATTACAAGGCACAAAACATAATATATATATATATATATTGTAAACACGAAAATTCCTGAAACAAACGAGACAAGAACACGTTTATAAAATAATATTTTGTATTGATGATTTAGGGGTTACAATCTCTTCTACAAATTTAGCATCTGATTCTATCTTTGTAATTTGTAGATTTGATGTTGTTGATCCAAAGGGCCGTCGAGACTTGATCTTGGGATAAACAGTTGTGCGGATTTGTTGACGTCGTTGATCCAAATGGCCGTCGAGGCTTAATCTAGGGATGAACGAATGATGAATGATGAACAATTTCTTCAAGGGCTGTTGGGGCTTGATTTTGAATGAGGATTTGACGAAGAACGAAGAGAGCTTTCTTGATCCTTCGGGATTTGATTGGGAGCTTTGGAGTTTCAAAGCTTCAAGGTTGTGGTGTGAGGTGAATTGGTTATGAATTGGTTCCCCCAAATAAATGCCTTGGCTTCCTATTTATAGAATTCCAAAACTTGATTTTTGGGTTTAAATAATCAGATGAAATAAATTATTTCTGCCAAGCATTGACACGTGTCATGTTTGATGACTTTTCTGATGATTCTCGATTTTTTTGTTGAGTCACATGCTATGTGTAAAATTTATGTGACACGTGAACGTTGAAATTCTAATTATTGATCAACATTTATTTCACCAAAATTTCGATGTCTATATATATATATATATATATATATATATATATAAATATAGGGATAGTAATTGTCTTTGCCCTTTCTTCTTCCAAACATGGACTTGCATACAAACAATTATTGTTTAGAGTGAATAGTAAGAGCAATTTTATTGCTCTTGCCCTCCAATTGCCCTTTCCTCCACTAACTAAGCGCAACAAGTGGCAAACTCTTTTCTTTACAACTTCCTTACCCAGGGCTTCAAACACTCGAGTGTTAAGGTTTTTCCCGTTGTATTCTATTAGAATGATTCACTAGTATTGTTAAGTTGGACGTGGAAAGCTAGGGTTTCATCATTGTCTTCAATTACCATGAAGGGGCTTATAAGCACCCTACAAGGAGGAGTATTAATTGAATGCTATATTATTTAGACGTGGCTTGTTTTGGAGCAATTAAATATAGGGTTTGGAGTTGTCGAACCTACATCGCATGGAATTGGCAGGAGTAGATTATTTTTTGGAATTGAAATTCTCTCCAAATCTTCAAGTCCGAAGTCGGCGGACCCATAGATCCAGGTCATTTATTTAAAATTTTACAGTTCATTCCACTAGTCCGTTTTAACAAACTGAGAGTGCCAATATCTCTCTTTCTTTGAACAGCCCAAGTTTTTGGATTCGCTCTGTGAGAACATGGTGGGATCCAAGACGAAGAGAAGACGACAAAGACGAAGTATGAGAACATGGTGGGATCCAAGTTTTGGTGCGGCAGTGATTTTAATGGTGATGCGATGAGGCGGTGGTGTGGTGCGGCAGAGAATCACACCCATGAATTAAACAGGGATTATTTTGAATATCAATGAAATCACACCCTCTATCTTTCCCACCCAGAATTTTTTGAATATCAATTAAACTGGGATTATTCTAAGTGTGATTTCATGGTGGGTTCTAACTTTTCAAAATTACATCTGGGTGTGATTCCTGCCAATTTAATTTCAAGTTTTGGGATCCAAGGTTTAATTTTGGTTGTTCATGGTGATTTTAATGGTGATGCGATGTGGGGGTGATATGGTTTGCAGCCAGAGATGTGGAAACATAGGGAAAAGATGGTTGAGAAGGTGAAGGAAGCATAATTGTTGCACTTATTTTATCATACCTTTATTTATTTGTTTTGTGGTGGGCTTGTTTTGTTTATATTATCAAGATAGAGGGCGTGTATAACTTATTTGGATGACGAGTTTGTTTAGCAATTTTCATTTTAAAATGTATAATTAGTAGTAGAATTTAGAAACTTGTCAAACTGAATAAAGTGTAGCATTTACTTAAGCATTTTACTTAGATTTTGGGAGAGAGAGAGAGAGAGAGCAAGAAAGAAGTCATCACCATTTTTTTGGTTTAAAAACGGAACTAAAAGCAAGAGCCCAACACAAACCTACTCAATAATAGATTTAGACCGGAACATCCCAAGTCGGCTCTCACGGAGAGAAGTCACCATTTCAATGGGGTTCTCATGTCTTTGCTCCAATACAAAATTAAAAAATAAAAATAAATAAAATTGAATATTTATAAAGTATTTGTTGAACATGAGTCCAGAAGTGTGATTACATATTGTTGTTTGTGATTTGGTGGACATAAACTTGTATTATTTATGGAACTTCTCAAAACTAAACCAAAATAACTCACACTATTTTTGGAACTACTGCAAAATAACTCATATTATTTCTAAAACTATAGCAAAATAACCCACACTATTTCTGGGACTGAACCAAAATAACTCACACTATTTCTGGATTGGAACAAACCGAACATTATTTCTGAAACTATAGTAAAATAACCACACCATTTCTGAAATTGAACCAATATGACTCACCTTATTTCTGAAACTACTGCAAAATAACCCACACTATTTCTGGAGCTACTGCAAAATAACTCACAATATGTTTTAAAGTACAGCAAAATAATCAACACTATTTATGGAACTGAACCAAAATAACTCATACTATTTCTGAAACTACATCAAAATAACACAAACTATTTATGAAACTAAAACAAAATAACACATACTATTTCTGGAACTAGAACAAAATAACCCACACTATTTTTAAAACTGAACCAAAATAACGTACACTACTTCTGAAACTGAACTAAAATAACTCACACTATTTTTTGGAAGGGAACAAACTAAACACTATTCTTAGAAATACACAAAATAGCACACACTATTTATGAAAGGAAACAAAATAAACACTATTTTTAGAAATACAACAAAATAACCCATATTATTTTTAAAATTAAACTAAAATAACTCAAACTATTTCTAAAACTACTGCAAAACTACATTCCAAGTTATTCCTACCATTTCCAAATTTGTAGCAAGCCCCGAGTTTCATTGCAGATTCCAAAATGATTAGTAATTGTTTTTATGTTCACACTTTAAAATTTAATAATAGTGCTAATTAATTAAATTAACTTCCAATATTCACTGACAACTTTCTCAGAAATGAAAGGTTGAAGCAATGGATGATGAGACATCAAAAATGAAAGTTGAAAGCCATGGTTGAAGTGTCTTTTCTCTCTCTTTCTCGTCTGCTTTTTCTATTTTCTTTTTCTTTTCCAAATTTTGTAACAGGGGAAGGTGAATGGTATTTAGGTGGTGGTCTTTCACCGGTAGAGATTTATTTTTCTTTCTAGTTTTATGGAGAAATGGGTGCAAGGAATTGGGATTTTTGTTTTTTTCCAGTTCCATGGAAAATGGATTCAATTTGGGGGTCCTCCTCCTTGATTCAATCGCACAGCTCTTTTCTTGTTCGTTTTTTTTTAATTCTAGTTTTGGAGATTGGATTCAATAATTAGGGATTTTTTTCTTCTCAAAGTCTAGTTATTCTTCAAATTTGAATCTAATTTGAACAACGAAATTCAAAGACTGATATATGCACCAAGAATGAAGGAAGAAAAACTCAAAAAACGAAAGGTTTCAAACATGCGCCTCCTTATTCTTCAACCATTCTTTGTCCCGTTGAAAGAAAAAAAAAGGAAAGAAAAAGCACGTTAAATCCAGCCGCACGATCTCATCGATGGCTGAGCGCATCATCCTCATTTTGTGGCTAAGATGGGGATCCCACTCTTTAAAGAACCTACACTATAGTCTAAGTTTTCTTTATGTTGGGGTAATTTTGGAAACTTATTTTTGTTCATGTTGGGCACAGTAATCCAGCCCATGTAGAATTGGAGGCCTATGTCCTTATGGTTAATTTTGAGGTGTTTTTTGTTAAAGAAAACTATTGGGTGGTTTTTTTTATTAAATTAGTCTCCAAACCCTTTTCATTAAAACTCTCATTATTATTATCATTGTCGATAATATGGGTATTATGATAATGTTGATTATATAAATATCTTATTGCATATTGGAGTGGAAGAATTTTATTGGAATATTCGAGAATGAGATAAGGAGATTAGCATTTGTGTAGTTGAATCTATTCATTGTGAAACCGGCTAACACGAGTAAATTAAAAATAAATAAAAACTCGATTTTAACGAATTTATGCTCTTTTAGTCTCAAGCCTTGTTTTTTAGAAACTTATTCGTTTCTATACTTGTTTTCTAGAAATTTAAGTTCTAGTTTCTATATTATTTGTCTTGAGACCTTTCCGCCAAAAATATTTATTGACTGGTTCCGTTTACGCCTAAATTCTTTCCATGGACGCCCATCAGCTTTAATTAAAATTAAAAAAAAAAATTTTATATCCATATGTAAAATTATCACAAAGAGCTTAATAATTTCTCGAGAAAAAAATAATTTTTTGCTACACATATTGGCCATCATTAGGATTTTTAAACAATACAACGCGGTAACCAAGCGATTACTTTTTTGAAGAACACATCGACAACTATGATGATTCACACTATCATTGTTTTATACTTTTATTATTTGAACTCTTTTTCCATCTTTGATTAATGATGGCCTTTCTTCGTGTACCATTTAGTATTAAAAAGAACATGAAGAAATAAAGAGCATGGGACTACACTACTCAATAAATTAAAACGTGGGCCTAAACTAACATGCGAGAAGTGACAGCTATCTATGAATAAAGGGTAATTTTTCTTTTTTGTGGTTGCTGTGGTGACATGTTACTTGATAAGTAGATTTTATATTATATATTTTACCCTATTTTTAGTATATTGTGGTTAATATTTTGAAAGAATTTTGATGATTTGAATTGTATTTTCAATATAGAACTTTTGACTTCCTCTAGAGCAAAACAGGAACAAATGGACGAATTTTGGAGTAATTCCAGTTGGAGGACGTTCGTGAGTCACTTAGCTTGATTGTATCAAAATTTGAGATTTTTCCACCAAGCGGTTATTTTTTTGCAATAAAATAAAAAGCGATGCGCAGTGTTGGAAAATGACGTTTTTGGACTTAAATTGCGTTTTTGGAGCCCAATATGACCTCGGATGGGTTTGTAGCCTTCTAGAGAAGTGTTCAGAATATTCCAAACATTAAATCCAGCTATATTGGACCAATTTTGGAGCAGCTTATGGGTCCAAAACGTGATTGTTCATATTTTAGACGAATTTTACCATTTAATTTAGGGTTATGTTTCCTATTTTATTTGATTATTATTTTTAGTTTCCTGGTGGGAATAAATGACTTGTTTTTAGGGTTTGTGTGGGGGCTTAGCAGATATATTGCTTGGCCGTCTACAGTTTTTTACTACGCTTTTTTTATGCAATTTTGGAGACAGAGAGAATTGCTAGGGTTTTGGAGATTTTCTACTTTGAAGGTGCTTTCAATCCTTTTCTTAAATATATTTTCTATGATTTTAATTATGAATATGCGTAACTAATTCCTTTTGCTAAGGCGAAGCCTTGAGCCTTAGCATGAATATGTGATTTTTATTTAATTGTTTATGATTGATTGTGTTTATACCATATTTAGGGCATCGTATTTAGATCTCGTACAAATACTCGAGGGACTTAAATGTAATTATGTGATAAAGGAAGGGGCAAATATGTAATAAGTGAGGAGTCATTATTCTATAAAAGGACCCATCAACCTCACAATTAGAGGAGACCATTTCTGGAGCCTTCTCACCCCTATCAACGCTCTCACTCCTAGAGCTCTCTCTCCCCCTCACTTCTCAGAGAAATATAATACAATCAGTGTGGACGTAGCCCAAACTTTAGGGTGAACCACGATACATCTTGTGTTATTTACATTACTTGCAGATTCACGGTCGGATTTACGTTGTTCAAAGACCTCCGGTTTTGTGCATCAACAGATTGCATGCATACTTTGAATTGTTAATCACCGGGATAAAAACTATCTAATTGTCTTAATGCCTGATCACCATTAGGATTTTTAGAAAAGTAATTTGATGCAATTTTGGTCGGAATGTTCCTTTAAATTGATGCTGACTTTTTGTGATTAATAATTGTAATTTCACTTAGAATGAACACCACATCTTAAGGGTTGCATGGTTTTTCAAAGGGTTTTCATAAAGCATAATGAGTCTTTCATGTTCAGATTTGATCCGAACGTCCGGACGAGTTGCATGTTAGATATACGTTCTATGTTGGAGGTTCCAAGTAGATTATGAATTAGGAAAATCTAACCTTCAAAGTGACATGTATAGATCATAAGTAATTGGTAAAAGTTCATAGGATTGCTAGGTGATGGTGGAACCCTAGTGCTTTCTTAATTTGATTTATCCCAAAAACTGTTTTCTTTTCCCTCTAGTTTTAATATTGCAGATTGTCTTATTTTTATTCTTTAATTTCGTTTTATTAGATTAGGCCATAAAATCAATCATCTCAGTTTCTACTTTACAATAATTAATTGGAATTTGGATTGTTTCGAATTATTTAATAATTCCTGTGGAGAACGACCTTGCGAGATCCGTTTATATTACAACAACCTTGTGATTTTTGCAAGTATAATAGGAGTTTTTAGCCCGTTCACATGAGTAGTAAAATCCCTATCATTACTTTCAATGTGACCTCTGTGGTGAAACAACTATTAATTGAACTTCCGCGATCAGCCCTATTAGCAATTGCTCCAAATCTAAAGTTCCATTAGTCTTCCGTTAAATAAAACCATGTGAATATGACGTGTGGATCTGTCAAAATTAAGTTTATTTATTTTGGAAAATAAAAAGACAAAAGCATGATTGAATTAAAATAAAATTACAAATAAAAGAAACTCGTAAAGATAAAAAAAACCCAATAGTTCCCGTATCTCATCTCAAGCTCCCACCCACTGCCGTAGCCACTTGTGGACCTCCTCCACCATCACTAGCCATCACCCCAATTTGATAGCACATGTATCT